TCCTGGCGATGGAGAGAAGCGCGAGTGCGGCAGAACGACAAGCCAGCGCAAGTGAGCGCTCCGCCGAGCTCCTCGACCGCATCGCCCAAGGCAACGCTAGCACCTTCACCCCGCATGCGGCGTCGACACCGTCGCCCGCCGCGAGTAGAGAGGACGCGTCGGCTGTACTCCAAGCCACCTCTTCCTCTCCATCTTCGTCAACGTTACTGTGCCCAGCCGCCACGGCAAGTGATTCCCAGAAAGACCCGGTGCTCGACAGCGCTCGCGCCTCTGTGACCGCCGATGCGGTCTCTGGACCGTCGACGACAATGTTCGACGACTCGTCTAATTCCTCAACGGCGGCCAAGTCTACTCCCTTGCCTTCTGAAGCAGCGATATATCCCTCCTTCCTCACGGGAGAAGGGGGGCCCTCCTCCACTCGCCACTCCACATCCGCCCGCGCATCAACCATGGCGGCTCAGGGGAAGGAAGAGGCGCCCCGGAAGACAGCCTCGATGTCGAATCTCAGTGGCAAAGTAACGAACGCCACCTTGCCAAGCCCGGCCCTCGGTTCTGCGACCCACCCCGACCCCTCGCCCGCCACCACTCCGGAGCTAGGCTCCGCTCCGTCGGTGAGTATAACACTTCTCCGAATGGCTTTTGATCCCTCGCTAATGCTCAGCCGAGCGTGACGAGGGCGCACTTCGCTCGCATGGCAGAGCTGTTTGCCGAGGGCGGGAAAAGAGTAAGTGGCAATGGGCTATTGATCGTTCACTTCTAACAACAGTTCAACGCCCCCCTCAAGGGTACCCTTGTCACCGTTCTGCACAACACGACAGCAGCCCAGAGAATTGCCGCCAAGATTGGGGCGACGGACGTCGACTCCCGCAACATCAACTTCCCTCTCCCCAACTCTCTGTTCAAAAATGGAACCATTCTCCGAGGTTCATCCCTGTCCCTTCAACTGGAATTCGTAGACCCCATCTCGGACCCTGACGAACGGTACGCTCCCGACAACATCATTGGAGTTGTCCGCGACCCGAACAGCTGCAAGGTCCTATCTCGGTACACCAGAGCGGATCTGAGAACCTCTTCTGCCGTGTCGACGTGGAACTTGACTTGCGTTTGGATGAGCAGCACGGTACAAGACCACGAGCTGCTTTGAGCCCCTCTGACGCTTGAATCTGCAGGCGCGACTCTTGAGATTCCTTCAACTTCAATCTTGTAGTACACGTTACATGTATGAAGCGATCTCACTTCATTGCTTGCACCGAGACAGCAGAAGCTTATTGAACTGAGAGAACTTGGTGGGGTGGGAACGAGCATCACCGGCTCTTTCTGCTCGTTCCCGGCGTTCAACCCATTGCACGGCTTGGTAGAAAATGCCGGTTCTCCGCTGTGGGGAATCTCGTGATGGCGACCGAACACATCACGTTGGCCTAACAAAGAGGCAGAACTGATGGAACTGACGGCCGGAGCTGATAGAGCTGATGGAGGCGGCTTAACTGATGCAACCGACCAAACGGAGAGACCAGACGGAAACTGGCACCTCGTAATAACCGTTGTTGGTCTTGGATCTCGTCTTTTCGCGTCACGTCATTGTCACCATCTCAAGATTTACTTCCGAATCGATCTCGTGCTGAATACGTTGTAAGAGAATCTGACGGCCACCCTGGGTGTCGCCGAGAAACTCATCTGCAACTAGGATCTTCTCTTGAGTGCTACTCGCTCTGGTGTACCTCATATCCATATCCTACTTAGCTTGTCCGTACTCCTTCCCTTGTCCAGCGATAGTCGAGTGCCTTGGTCCTTCTCGCAGACCGGACTGTCCGAGTCCTGGCACGCTGACCCGACCACGCTTGTCGCGAGCTGGCCTCCTGTTGTGGTATCTGTATGCAGTGTCCGCCTTGATCCCAGAGTAGTGTACTAGTGCCGTGTTGATATGCCCCAAGGCTGATGAGAGTCGTTGACCGAGATAGTAGAGTAATGGTCCAATGTCGAATTCGATCGTACTCGATTGATCGGCGATCACAGGGCGGAGGGAGAAAACAGAGACTCAGTCTCTGTTTTCCCTCCAAGCATGTGACCTCCGCTGAACGCCGTCCCTCTCGATTTCCCCACAACGTATCGCGTGCGCGATCACTTTGTACGCCTTGACCCAGTGTTACAATCCAGGCCGCCCGAAGTGGGTGGACCGTAAGGGGAGGACTCAAGGCGTGGAGGCGCGCGGAGTTGGTACAACCTACTGAACCTGCTGGTCAACTTATAGTGTTGCTCAACGGGCAAGTGGCGCTTGGATGGATCGGCCTAACTGTGAAGGTGTAGGCAAGCAATAGGGGTGGTAGCGGTGGCCGAGGTTGGAGGGGTGGTGTCGAGACATGAGGTGGCGAGTGTCGAGATGACGGCTTGAGGTGAGCTGGGTCGAAGCTCCGTGTGGGGTCTTGTCAAGAGATCCGCAGTAGTGACGGCGGATGTGGTGTGTACCGCAGGGGTGACTGCAGGCGTGAGGTATACCGCAGATAATTAGATCCATGGAGAGGACGTCTACAACGGAGCTCTTTATATATCTGTCGGGAGGGGCCATGGGCCTCAACTACGGGTGGCAAAGTGTGGGTGGTGGTGTGTTCGTATGTGTTGACGGACACGGCGAGGTGTATGTGTCCGTTAGCGGACACGGTAACGTGTACGATAGCGGTAGTGATAGCGGCAACACAGGTTGTGGTGTGTGTGCCTGGTGGAGTTGTGGAATGTGGGTGTAGGCGTGTACGGTAGCACTAGCGCTGGCGTTCACGTAGGCGTAGGCGTAGGCGTGGACGTAGCCATA